CTTATTCTCTGCTTCACTCATTTCTTTTAACCTTTCTCTGCCCTATATTAAAAGCAAAGTTTGGAACTAACTAGTTCAATAAAATTCGCCCCACTTCCTCTCTTTTTTCACACCAGAAATTGCTCCCACACATATATATATATATATATTTTTACCCTCAAAATCTCAGCCAATTTTTTTTTTTCAATAAAATGAACCCAAAACTAATCAACATCATACCCTTTTTGACACTACTTCTCCTAGGGCTCACGCTTTGCCTCATCACCCTCCCATCATACCCGAAGAATCTCGTCCTCGTCAAAACCGACGTCGTCCCTAACAAAATAATTCCACCGACAAATCTAAGCCACCTCGTTTTTGGCCTATTGGGCTCGGAAAAGGCCTGGCCCAAACGAAGATCCTACATCGAGTCCTGGTGGCGGCCCAATTCCACACGCGGATATCTCTTCCTGGACAAGCCCCCTGGGCCCGATCTCCTCCCATGGCCCAATACCTCCCCGCCCTACCGCATCTCGGACGACCTAACGAGATTGCTGGAAAAGAACAAAACCCGGGCCCAGCGGATGGTCCACGGGATAATGGAGGTGTTGAGGGAATTGGAGAGGAATAATCCGGACGATGATTTTCGGTGGGTGGTGATGGGGGACGATGACTCGATCTTTTTCGTGGATAATATGGTTGATGTGCTTAGGGATTACGATCACGAGAGGTATTATTATCTGGGAGGGAATTCGGAGAATGTTTTGTCGGATTATTTGTTTTCGTTTAATCAGGCGTTTGGTGGAGGCGGGATTATGCTGAGCCGGAAGATGGCCAAGGCCCTGGCTAAGGATATGGAGAGGTGCTTGAAGAGGTATGTGTTTTTGGAGTCGGCGGATAATACGACGAGGGCGTGTATAGCGGACATTGGGGTTAATCTAACTCCTCTCAAGGGAAATCACCAGGTGATGATCTAATTCTTATATAATTGTTGCGACTATATGTTGTAGTATATATATATATATATATTTTTTTTTTTTTGGTACAATATGTTGTAGTATATTGACACTAGCTAGGGCACATTGCTAAATTGCAAAAATCTAAAGTCCACCGACCTTTTAATCTATTGCGTATAAAAAAAGGGCTTTAATTAATTTTGATGAACAAGAAACAGATGTGTCTTGTGAAATAGTGCATTGGCCTATTTTGCGGAACTCCTCGTGATAGCGCGTCGCGACGCGGTAAATTTAAATTTATAAAGTTTACCTCAACTAACCTTTATTAACTAGTAGTAGCGGCGAGTAAGGGTCGATCCCATGAGGAGCAGGAATTAAATTGTGATAGTTCTCGTATTTAATTGAATTATAACTATGAAAGCAATAAAAAGAGGGGGATTGGCTTGATAAAAATAAAAATAACAAAATAAAATAAAAATTAAATAAAAGAAGAGAAACTCCAGTTTTCGGTTCAGTTATCACCCAATATCAACCCTAGCTAACAACAAGCTCTGTTAACTGGATTTTCTCTTACCGAATATTTAATCGAAATAGGCTCTTCGACTAAACCTAACTAGTGGACAACCTAGAATAAGCTCTCTAGATTTAATACACTAGTAACATTAATTACTAGGAAAATAGATTAGTCTAAGCAGCGGTCGCAAAAGCTCGGACCGTTAACTTATGCTCATGCTACCCTAGAGATGCATACTACTAACGAAATGAGACGATAACAATTACGGATTAAAGCCTCGAATCTAGCAATTAAATCATAGATATTCAACCTAGCTGGCTAAACCAAATCAAATACTTATAATTCATAAACACGATACACAGATAACATGAATCAACTCATCGACAAAATAAATATGGTGTCTCGATTAATCAACGATAAAAATAAATCCTCAAATTCATAGACAAATTCAAGTTAGGGTTCAAACATCCCCCTAAAACTGGATAAAAACACTAGCCTACCATACTAATAATGAAATAAATAAATGATAGAAGAGAGAAAATATCTCCCTCGTGCGGGTGCGGCTTCCCTCCGCGTGTGTTCTTTTTTTCCCAGTTCGAGCGTATTTTTCTTCTGTTTCTATTCGTATCCTCTCACCAATTCTGTTCACGGCTTTCTTTCGTGTGAGTTACGTGAATAACAAGTCCCCCTCTGATCAAACTCCTTCAGTAAATAAATAACCCCAGCCAAATACGTGACTCAAGTATTAAAAATTCAACCAGCCAATCAAATTCTTCCCATTAAATCCCATGCATGTGTGTAGGATTTTCTTTCTTTTTCTTTTGTTTTTTTTTCCCGTAAAGAGTACATGGACAAATGTGCTTAAAGTTTATTTGCCATGAATCTTGGTGAATTGGGCCTTTAATTTACAAGCATGTATTGGGCTTTTTTTCATTAAGTCCGACATTGAGCCCAAATTTTCAAGTACTAGTGCACCTCGATTATTGCTAATGCGTACCCTCGTCAATGACTTCACGTCCACAAAATACTCCAATGCACTGAAATTAATCATAAAATAACTAAAGCAAATAAATCTATCCAAATAATAAATAAGTCGAAAAATATATAAAGTGCGAATAAATGAAGCATATAAGAATAAACTATTAAATATATAAAATACGCACATTTTTCGACCTATCACCTCAATTCTATTTTGGGATCCTATGTAGTTAATTTGTGGAATGCAGAAATAGTTTCCTCGTTTTACATAAAAAAGAAAAAAAACATTGTGATGCAAATAATAATTTCTGAATATTCCATTTGGACTTTGATCTATAGATATATCTATTATAAAAGAAATACAGAAACACACTTTTGGGATGCAAATAATAGTTTATGAATTCCATTTCGACTTGATTAACATTATACACACTTTTTATACAACCACACATTAATATATATGTACATGTGTGTATAATTGAAAAATATGTCAAAGTAACTTAGACCAAATAACAATTCTGATCAATAATTCTTAAAATTAAATGAAATGCCCACAATAGTTTTTGAAATTGTAGCAAATGCTCATTAAATAGCTAAATAGTGAATACTCTGCTCAAACATATGAGTTTTTGTCAAAATCCTTTCTTTTTTTTCTTTTTTCAATGTGTGAGTTTGTTAGTTGACAATTTTTGCATGTTTATTAGGACATATATGCATACACACACATATATATATAGTATTTGATTATTATTTATTGAATATTTTTCTGAATGATAACTTTGTCAAATTTTACCCTTATTGTTCATGATTAATTTTATTGGTTATTAAAAATGTTGTTAATGAAATGAAAAATTTGTTGTGTGTATATAAAAAATGTGAAACGTATACATATACATACATGTCAGATTGATCTACACGGTGACATATCGGGGTTATTATCAGCCCACCCACTATCCCCACTCCTATCCCTCCACCACTTGGACAAAGTGGACCCCATCTTCCCCTCCATGGACCGCTACCGCTCCACGCGCCACCTCATGAAGGCCGCCCACCGCGGCGGCCAATCCCGGCTCCTCCAACAAACCATCTGCCACCACCGCCCTTCCGACTGGACCTTCTCCGTCTCGTGGGGCTACTCCGCCCAAATCTACGAGACCGTCCTCCCCCGAAGCTTCCTCCACACACCTCTCGAGACCTTCCGCCCGTGGGCCCCGGGACTCGGCCCGCCATTCTACACGTTCAACACGCGCCTCCCCACACGGGATCCGTGCCACGCTCCTCACGTCTTCTTCTTCAAGTCCGTTAAACGGGAAGACGGGCTCCTCGTCACCACCTATTCCCGGGCTCGCCCGCGCGGCCTGCCCCCGTGTTCAGACCGCCCGGCCGATCACGTGATGAGGGTTCGGGTTTTCTCGCCAGCACATAAACGTGTCGAGGTAATTAGCTAGTTCAGTTGGAAAATTTTCAAAAGTAATCTCCCAGGTATTATTATGTGAATCTAAGACTTAATTGTTATTCAATGTTTATGGTCAAACATACATGACATTTGAGGTGTTTTTGCTTGTTTTTGTGTTTCAGATGGATAGATGCGAATGTTGCGATGTTGTTCGAGTGGACGGTGTTGATGCAGAGATCAGATTGAGGGAGTGTTTGACGGATGAAATAATTGCTTAATTAAATTAATACCAGCTGATGAGTGTGGGAGCTCAATCTGTAATTATTATTTGGTGTTAGGTTCAACTTTATGTTTTTTTCGGATTCAACTTGAATATGCTATTTTTGAGAATTTGAAAGCATTAAATGATCTGATTGCCATTTTGGATGAATTCAATGTCAAAGAGATGCATTTTTGTCGGCCACTCCCTATCTCCTTTGGTAGCTGCCATAGCTTCCATCTCTAGACCTCAACTGTTCTGTAAGGTGATCATGCTTTCCATTGGCCCGAGATAAAATTTGTGGCAACTATGTGATTGAATATGAATTTCATTAGTTTTTTATTGATTTTGTTATTAATTAATTTTGAAAAAAAATTGTATGGTTAGTTGTTATTGAGAATTTAAATTTAATTTAAAATAAAAAAAATAAAACAGATTTTATGTAAAAGTAGAAAAAATATGATTAAAAGTGATTGTTATTTAAAATTATGTAAACGAACAAATAGTTAATTAAAATTGATGTGATGTGCAAGAATGATTTATTGTTATTATTTAATTATATTAATAATATTAAAGATAGTAAAATTGAGTTTTTAATTGATTTTTTTTTCTCGTTAAATTAAATTTATAACCAATCACACCCCAAATTTGTCTCTCACACTATTTGTTCCTCGTCCCTCCACTCTGTCTCATCCATCGCGTCATATACTCCTTACCCTCTCGCACACTATGTTTCTTGTGATTCATTTTCACCTGCACATCAGTCATTTCTAGCAGCCATTTCTTCTGCGGTTGAGCCTCAGACCTTTTCTGAGGCTGTTTGACGCTGGCGTTCGGCTATGCAATTGGAGATTCGAGCATTGGAATCGTGCCGTACGTAGGATATTGTTTCTCTTCCTACTGGAAAACACGCTAGTGGTTGCAAGTGGATTTATAAGATTAAATATAACTCTGATGGTTATGTTGAGCGCTATAAAGCACGTTTGGTTGTCTTGGGTAACCGGCAGGTGGAGGGCATTGACTATCAGGAGACATTTGCACCTGTCGCCAAGATGGTTACTGTAAGGACTTTTCTTGCCGTTGCAGCTGCCCGACATTGGGAGGTTCATCAGATGGACGTGCATAATGCATTCTTACATGGGGATCTGTCTGAAGAGGTCTACATGAAGCTTCCTCCCGGTTTTCATTCGCTTGATCCTGGTAAGGTGTGTCGATTACGCCGTTCTTTGTATGGTTTAAAGCAAGCTCCTCGGTGTTGGTTTGCGAAGCTTGCTTCTGCTCTACGGCACTATGGTTTTCAGCAGTCATATTCTGATTACTCACTGTTTGTTTTTCATCGTGACTCATTGAGTTTACATGTTCTTGTTTACGTTGATGATCTGATCATTTCTGGAAGCGATCCAGTCGCCATTACTGCCTTTAAAGATTATTTGGGTCGCTTGTTCGCAAAATATTTTCACTATCCGCAAGTGTACGGTATAGCTATAGTGAGTGGCGAGTAAGGTCGTATTCCACAGAGATTGTTGTCAAAATAACTAAGTATCAAAATGTAAACGGTTAAATATTATTCAGTCTAATGCAAATTTAAATGGTGATTTTATTCTAAACTAATGAATGATTATAAAATAAATTCTAACACTAATGAAGGCTTGTTCTAAGATAAATCAAAAATGAGAAAATAGATTCTAGGCTATGCTTTCCTTGGGATTATTCTAGCAAAGATTAATTATTCATTCAAACCTTATTTAATTCTACCATTCGTAGGGATAATCACTAAAGTAATTTACACCTTTCTTTCGAACAAGTTAAATCGTAGATATTAACTGTTATCTATCTCCTCTCGGTCTCAAGATAAACAATCAACTCCCATAAGCTCCTAAGATTCTAGTTCCCTCGCAAGATTCTATCAACCTCTCGGTCTGTTTAGTCTCTTACGTTATGAATTTCCCAATTCTAGCAATCAACTATCTCCTCTCGGTCTCAAGTCAATCACAAATATGCATAAATACGGGCCCTTATATTCACACAATTAATAAAAGCATAAGAAATTGATAAACGAATGATAAACCGGAATGAATAAACGAAATCACTTCATAAAATAATCCGAGTACTCGCAAATCCTAGAATCCCTAAAAGGTTTAACTACTAAACATATTCTCAAAACTCAAAACAAATATATTCATGAATTCAAAACGAGTCGTGTCACATGCCACACGAGTGTGACTTTTCTCAACATTTCGGCGAACTTCCAGACTCACACGACTGGTCACACGACCGGGTCACACGAGTCGTGTAAGGTCACACGACCCGTGTGAAAAAGCCGCAGCTGCGTCTGTTATTTTCTCAACTCACACGACCCGTGTCACCATCCACACGAGTCGTGTGGCCTCTTCTGCACCCGTTCTCGCCGTTTTTCGTCCCGATTCTATTTCCAACGCTTTTCCGGGCATATTTCATGCAAAACCAATGACAAAAGCACCTCTATCATAGATTAATAAATAAAACAAAATGGTGCACAATCACACGATAACCATGGCCAAATATCACAATATATCACTCATAATGTATGAAAATACGATGAATGTCGTCGCTTTTTTCATATGAAGGATTTGGGTTTGTTGAAATATTTTCTGGGTATTGAGGTTGCTAGGAACTCTTCGGGCATTTTCTTGTGCCAGCGGAAGTACACTCTTGACATTGTGACCGAGACCGGTCTACTTAGCGGTAAACCAGCGGATTTTCCCATGGAGCAGAATCACCAGCTTCCCTTAGTAGACGGTCCTCTCTTTTCTGGCCCCGAGCGTTATCGGCGTCTCGTTGGGCGATTGATCTATTTGACAGTCACTCGTCCTGACTTGTCTTATGCGGGTCATACTTTGTCTCAGTTCATGCAGCAACCTCGTCAGGCCCACTGGGATGCTGCTCTTCGGGTAGTTCGTTGTTTGAAGGGTACTCCAGGTCAGGGTATTCTTCTTCGTTCAGATTGTGACTTGCAGATTTACGGTTGGTGTGACTCTGATTGGGCGACTTGTCCCACTACACGCCGTTCTCTTTCGGGCTGGTTTGTTCAGCTTGGTCATTCACCCCTTTCTTGATGCACCAAGAAACAACACACTGTAGCCCGGTCTTCTGCCGAGGCCGAGTATCGAGCTATGTCGACCCTTACTTGTGAGTTGAAATGGTTGAAGGGTTTACTTCACAGCCTTGGCGTCGCTCATTCTCAGCCGATGCGGATTCATTGTGACAGCCAAGCAGCTCTGCACATTGCTGCTAATCATGTATTTCATGAGCGCACGAAGCATATTGAAGTCGATTGCCATTTTCTTCGTGATGCTCTTGTTCAAGGTCTCATTTCTACCGCTCATGTTTCCACTCATTCTCAATTGGCGGACATCTTCACCAAGGCCTTGGGAAAACGCGAGTTTGATTTTTTTCTTGGCAAGTTGGGCATCCGAAATCCGCATGCTCCAACTTGAGGAGGGGTGTTAGAGTGATTTTTTGAATATTTTATTTTTTGTATAGATAGATTTTGTTATCTTAGAGATTTGGTGGATATTGGTTTTAGGGCTTCCTTTGTATCTATATATATTCGGCTCTTGTGAATATCAAAAGTAAGGTTTTGGGAAACGAATTAGTGTTCTCATATTTGTCAGGAATAATAAGATCACATAATAATAAGTTCATTTTCATTTGTTTCTTGTTGGACTTGTTTAGTATACTCAAGCAGAAGTTGGTGAACCACAAATTCTCTCAGAGTCTCAGCACACAAGATGAAGACAGTGTGTGTAACAGGGGCATCGGGCTATATTGCTCCATGGATCGTCAAATTCTTGCTCCTACGCGGTTATATTGTCAAAGCTTCCATTCGTGATATCAGTTCAGTAAACTCTCTAACATGCCTGGACTGTATTCGTGTATGTGTGTAATCTTTAATTTGTTACTATCATCACTATAGTAAACCCCCTTCTTCTTCTTTTTTTTTTTTTTCCTTTACTATACAGGCTTGTTTCTATGAACAGTTTTTTTTTTATTTAAATTTTATGTGTGTATGAAAAATCGGCAGATGATCCAAAGAAAACAGATCACTTGCTCGCGCTTGATGGAGCCAACGAGAGGCTTCACTTAATTAAAGCAGATTTATTGCAGGATGGGTCCTTTGATGCTCTAGTTAATGGCTGTGATGGTGTTTTTCACACTGCCCTCCATATTTACTGTCAACTACAGATCCACAGGTTCATGAAAACTTCATTTTTGTATATTGCATTTTGCCTCTAAAAATGAAGTCTTAAGTCATAACTAGTCATTTCTATGATTAATTCTGTGATGTCTCTTATTGAAGTATTTTGCTGCATGCCATTTAGACTAAAGGCTCTTCTGTAGTCAGGTTAATAGAATATGATTTTTTTTTGTGTGTGTGTGTGTTTTCTTTTTTGGTATTAACCTTTATAAACATTATAATTTCACCAAAGTTGTCACTCCTATAGGCAGAACTAATTGATCCAGCCCTAAAGGGAACACTAAGGGCATGATTGTATATAATTTCAACAGTAAATATCTCACTCAAAACTCAAATTTAACTCAACCTTAACTCAACTCTACTATCTCCAATATTATTAATATAATTAAATAAAATCAACCAATCATTATTACACATCACATCAACTTTAATTCACTATTCATTCACTCACATAATTTTAACTAACTATCATTTCCAATCATTTTCTCCTACTTTTACATCAAATCAACTTTAATTATTTTAATTTAAATATTATTTTAATATATCCACTAACAACTAACCATACTAAAACTTAACTATAGTTAAAAAAAACTAGTTTTTTACTAGTTAAATTCATATCCAATCACCCCCTAAACGTTCTTCGATCATGCGCAAAAACACCATCTGTTAAAAAGGTCATTTTGACATCTTCCTTAGCAGCAGTTCTTTTCAATGGCAAACATCGGACACCTCAAGTGGTAGTTGACGAGACTTGGTGGTCAGATAAGGAGTTTTGCAGAAAAATAAAGGTCATTGCTTGCAAATCTTTACTTTTTTTTTTCCCTTCACTTTTTTTATTTCTTTTTTCCCTTGAATCTTTGCTACTATATCAGAAATGGTATTTCCTTTCAAAGACATTGGCCGAGGATGCTGCTTGGAAGTTCGTTCAAGAGAAAGGCATCGACATGATTTCTATAAACCCAGCAATGGTAATTGGTCCATCATTACAGCCGAACCTTAACTTGACCTCGGCTGTAAGTCTGAACTTGATAAATGGTGGGGTTATATTCAAATTTTCTTATTTTGTTTCGAAAAAAAAAAAAAAAATCGTTTCCTAGATTTTAACTAATAGTCTCGACCGATATTTCATCTGTAATTGCAGGTGCTGAAACATATCCAAATGCTGCAATCGGTTGGGTGAATGTTAAAGATGTTGCTACTGCACATATTCAGGCATTTGAAAATCCTTCGGCTAATGGAAGATACTGTGTGGTGGAGAGAGTTGCACACTATTCAGAAATCGTGAAGATATTGCACGAACTGTATCCTAACCTTCAACTTCCTGAAATGTAAGTCCTTATTCTAGTTCAATTTTCATGTCTTGGTTCTATTCTCTGAATTCAAGCGTAAAACATGGTAGTTTTTAAATTTGTTCTTGATCAGGTATGCCAATAACAAGCCTTGCATGCCTACATATCAAGTCTCGAGCCCAGGCATCGAATTCACTCCACTAAGAGAAAGCATCAAGGAGACTGTCGATAGTTTGAAGGAGAAAAACCACTTTAAAACGGCTTCTTAGAGACGTTCGTTTTCATTTGTGTGGGCTATCCTGTGTCCTGAAAATCATCTAATCTCTATTGTTTCAACGTATCAACAAAAAGTCGCATCTCTGTATAATCCAATAAACCATTGAAACTTTATATTGCATCTATGATTTGCAGATATAATCATCCAAGCACACATCACTCTTTTCATAACTAAAAAAATTCATTCATCACATAGATAAACAAACATTAAAATCACTAACGAAATAACAGTCAACACTTTCAAAATTCCAAACATCGACAAAGAAAGAATCCCTTCGACTCACAAAGAAGTCAAAATAATAGCCAGCTAGAAGAAGAAGCAAGTCATTCTCCACCCAAAAACGGTTTAGACAAACGCAAAATCCTTCGACACATCACCAGACGACGAAGCAAATGTGATTCTCGAATTCATCGAGACATCCGAGCTTCCTAATTTACCATTATACCCCTGACCTCCCCCACTGCCCGACAGGCATATCGAATTGTAAAGCATTGATATTCCCGAAACAATCGAGCCATCTTCACACCAGCTTTTGATCCCCATGCTTTGTTCTTCCTTGTGTCCAAATGAACCAGCTTCAATATTTTGAACAATTTCCATTGAATCTTCTTCGAACGAGAAAAACGGGTCCTTTAGCAGCTCGAAAGCCGAAGGCCTCAGAGAAGCCGGCAACAAACACCTGTCGATAACACGCCTCACTTCAAAATCATTCACTCTCTCAAGACCAGCTGGCTTCACGCCATTCGAGACTTTCTTGAAAATCTGGGCCGGGTTCGTGCACTCGCAATAAGGATACTCCAAAGTCATCATCTCCATCAAACACAAACCAAAAGCGTACACATCCACAAGCTCATTGTACTCCTCGTCATAATACTCGGGAGCCATGAATTCCGGCGTGCCTGCGAGGACAGTGGCCGGAGCAGACTCCATTTTGGTGGCCAGCCCGAAATCTCCGATCTTGACCTTGACACTGGTGGTGATGTCGATGAATATGTTGTCACACTTCAAATCTCGGTGGATTATGCAGGGAGTTTGGGTGTGAAGGTAGTGAAGAGATTCTAGAATCTGCCGGCCCCAATTCTTTATGGTCTGCAAATCGAGCCCGCCGAGTTTCTTCATGTACCGCTTTAGGCTGCCGGAGGAGAAAAGCTCGGTTATTAGGTTCACCGTCTTGTTAGGGTAATCGACCCAGTAAGAATAGCACCTCATGACGTTTGTGTGGGAGAGGGAGTTCAACAGGACGGCCTCGGCGCAGAGACGCGCCTGAATTTCCGGCGAATTTTTTAGGGTTTTGTCGTCGTCACTGAGGCAGATCTGATTCCAGGCGATATCGACGCCGGTGAGCAGATCGAAGCCCCTGTAGACGTCCTTGAAGGCTCCCCTGCCCAGGATCTGCTCGAAACGGAGAAAGCGGCCGCACGGCGATTTCTCGACGGCGTCGGGCTCGTCGGGTCCCGGGTTTTTCTCGTGAAACGATTCGAGTTCCATGGAGAAGACAATTGACGATTGATTCGTGAGTCGAGTATGGAAGGAAGGGAGAAGAACAGGGGAGGCTAAATAACAGGGTGTTCGGAGAAGGCTTCCATGGCGGCCGTGAAAGAGTCGTGGACTGAGGAACAAAGGGCTCGAATGCAGAAGAGATCCATCTTCGATAATGATCCCGCAACGGGTGGTTCTTTGCGGGCACGATTTCCTCCGATCAACGCCATTGTTGTACGCGCATCAAGATTCGCTTTTTATCTGTGTTTTTGTGTGATTCAAGTTTGGCGGCTCACGGGGAAGGTGTGAAGAAAAAGGGGCAGGGAGAGTTGAAAAGAGAGAAAAGCGATGAAGAAAGTAGAATAAAGCTCTCAACTCAACTGAAAGGATGATTGATTGTGATTGTGTAGGGATCTTCGGATTCTGTTATATCTGACAGGATCAACAGGTCAAGGGCTCGCCACCACTTAAAAGGAGTTTTCTTTATTTAACGTATTCATAAGTCATCCATATCCCTTAATACAAAAATCATTCATTCAATCAAAAAATAACACCATCTCTCATCCACATTATCTCCACATTATCTTTTCACTAAATCTCTCTCCATTTAAACACATATTTCCTACACATTCATTTAAATACATATGTGGGACCCTTTTCATTAAAAAGAAAAAATCATGCTGCACATACATGTAATAAAATATGATTTTAAAACAAAACAAAAAAAAAGAAGGGGAAAAGGGCGTTCAATCAAAAAAAGAAGGAGAAAAGGGCGTTCAATCAATTGAATGAGGAAGTGGACCTCCCTTTAAAAGGATTAGCTGCATCCCTATTAACGAGTAGGGGCGTTTAAACGGCACAATTGAACGAGGCGATGCAAATGCTCTAACCTGTTAAGTTTCAGGGATTTTAAATGGATAAAGTTTAGTAAAAGTAAACTTATCTATATCTATATCTATATTTATATAAAAAACTATTCCATTTACTAGAATTAGTAGGAAGAAAAATCAACTCATAATTAATTGCACACCATATTTAGAAAGTTTTAGATATTTTAAATCATAAAATAGGGTAGCATTAAATGTCCTTAAAATTATGGGTTTTGTTTAGAGATGTTAAACGGGCTAGTCCTAGCGGTTTCGGGCTAGCCGTAGCGGGCTTCGGGCTAAACGGTCCGGACTTAAAAAGCTCAGATTTAAACGGGCTACCAATAAAAAGACCTAACCCTAAACCTAGCGGGCTTCGGGCTATACGGGCTATAATATTAATAAAAAAAATAATAATAATAATAATAATAATAATAACAATAATAATAATAATAATAATAATAATAATAATAATAATAATAAATTACAACACCTAGTTAATGGTTTTTTTTAACAGCTATTTAGTATTTATCACTATATATATACAACTACACTTCATATATGAACACACATTACAAACTTTTAAATAACATATTGTTTCTCAATAGAAGAAAAAATGTTCGAACTATTACTTGTAACTACCATTTGACTAGTTATTTGGTAAGCTTCGGAAATTTTTAAATATAGCATACTGCTGAATTTATATTCTATCACTGTATTCTATGTGTTCGGTCTTTGTCTCATTTGTTTTTTATTACCTATTCTGATTGACTTAAATATTTTGCTGTGAAATAGGATTAATATTTATTAATAATTATCTATCAAAATAATAGTAATACATTATAACTCATAATTACATGTGAAGTAGAATAGCAAAATTGTAATATACAAGGAATCAATGGGCATATTCCTTATCTTTCTAAAAACAATATACACCACCCAACCAAAGTTAAACGGGTTAGCCATAGCGGTTTTCGGGCTAGCCCTAGCAGTTTTCAGGCTAGCCCTGGCGGGCTTCGGGCTAAACGGTCCGGGCCTAAAAAGCGCGGATTTAAACTGGCTGCCATTAAAAGGCCCTAACCCTGTTTTTTTACGGGCTAAACGGGCCGGCCAGTCGGGCCAAGGAACATTTAACATCTCTAGTTTTGTTGAATCTATTTTTGAAAATTTCGACAGATAATGAAGTGAATATGAAATTTAAAATCTCTTCTCATTTTATTTTTAACAAAATTTGCATCCAAATTTACGTGTGGTTTTGAAGTAAAAATTTGATATTCAAAATATCTTTTCATTTTAGTTACAAGAAAATCGGGCTGCATTCAACACTTGGACCAATTTTAAAAAAAATATATATAAAAGAAGCATAGCATTTAATTATATTATCATGCATTAAATTTCATTATCCCTCCAAAATTTTCAACATTCAATTTCATTTTTAAGTTACAAAATAACTTGCTTGAATGCCATAAATTATGAGCATAAACCAATCAAGGGAGTTACAAAATTGTACCAAATTTTAAGTCACACCCACTCATAAAAATGGCCGGATGTATTAGCATAAAGAAAATAGTTGTAACGGCTCTTCCATAGCAATTACTTGATCAAAATCAATTTTGAGAATTATTTTCTTAATTCATATTTTTTCATGATTTAAATTATGATTTTTTTTATATTGTTATGTTCTTAAAGTATTCTTCTTGTGCAAATCCACAAGTTGATTACTAGTTTATGTTTAAGAGAAAACATATTTTATTAGGTTAAAATTTTTTATTAGTTTTAGTTTTGGGGTCTATTGGACAAATGTAGCTAAAATTCTATTAGGTTAAAACATTGTGAATGGGTGAGATAATTCTTCAAAATAAAATTCTTTTTTGAAATATACAATATGCATTCCTCCCTATGTAAAGGTAGAATTTTCCAATTTTAAATGTCATTCATAATTATATATGTCGATTGTTGGTACTATTTTGAATTTTGGTATTTCGGAGCAACTTAGAATCTTATTATACCCAGTACAGATTTTAAAATTATAAAATAGTTGGTCAGTTTGAATTGGAATTATAATTTAAAATATAATTTTTTAAATTAAAATTTAATAACCTTTTATTTTTTTTCATGTATATACTATTAGTTTAATCATTTTTCGACAAAATTTCAATTTAGCAATCATATTATACAAAATTATATTTGCTTTAATAAATAAAAAATGTATTATTTAATCATGTCTAGTTGAAAAATATAAAATTATTATTTATAATTAAATAAATTTATCTATCAAGAATATTGTGTGATATGAGCTTAAAAATTATTATCAAATAGGACAAACGAGTTCACAGGGTGTCATTTTAAAAAAAAAAATATATATATATATATATAATATTTTTTGAAGTATTTAATAAATGAAATATAAATGTTACATAACTCAAAAACAGTAAATACAATATCCCAAAAAATCAACAGAATAAAAAAAATAAAGAACTTTAAAAGGTTATAAAATCCTATAATCCTAGGTAAAATTAATATAATAATAAAATCCTAGCAAAAACGAGGTGATCCTTACACTATTGGAAAAGAACTAGTAATTGTTGGGATGCATTTAGCTGAAAACAATTAATAGAGTTTTATCCGTTGATTTTGTAAATCCATTAATAGAGTTGATCTGGAAACAAAATGTCGAAAAGAAGATGAAGAAATAATGAAATAATTTGGTCTGATTTTATGACTTTATTTGGACGACTAAAATATTGCGTTGATTTATGAAATGATTGAAATTCTATCACATTTCACAAGTAAAACACATTCATTCATCTACGCCTCTAGGCAAGCTGATGAACAATCATAACCAAACGGGATACTTATTATTTACTTCCCATATAATGATTTTTAGTTTGCTTTGGACTGTATTAGAGAAAAAATCAATTTTGTTTCTCCAATTTTACCTGATTGCCAAATTAATAAATTATGTATCTCAAATTGTGATCAATAACCACTACAAGAAAATGATGAAATTACAACGGAAATATATTTCAATAGAATTTCAATGGCAATTTCAATAGACGTTTCAATGCTATTATTTCCGTCGGAATTATTCCAACGGAAATTCCAACAAAAATGTTCCTTTGGAATGAGTTTTTCATTGGAATTTCCGTTCGATTTTGACTATTTCAACGATAGATTTTCCAACGGTAGTGTGTGTGGTATTGGCGCTTAATTTATTAGGTTTTAGGTTTTATCAAAGGGTTTAATAATACAAGAAACTATGTCAAAAGCATCAATTGAGATCTGATTTTCCAATAGAACATAGTCCATAAAGCATCTTTATGACCTTTTTTCGGTTCTTTCGTAGTAAATAAAAGTTAAATATCACGTCTTCCTAACTCTGGTCATTTTTAATTAATTACTTAAAAATATGACAGCTTCAAAAAATTTCAACAGCAAAAGGTGATGATCAAGACTCAAGTGCCCGCATCACGCATTTCATCATGAACCTTGAAGCCATCCGGAAAATGGGATCTTAATTTCATCATTCCACCAAAAAATAAACAAAAATAAAAAAATAAAAAAATTGTTCTAATTATCTGAAATTGCCACGGTTTAAGGCAAGAAAATGTGCTAATTCTCTCCATCAGCACACAAAAAAGGATGACCAAGAAAGAAAAAAAAAATATATATCTTTTTTTAAATAGAGAAAAGGTTACAAATAACAAAATTCATGATTCATCACATTCTAAAACTACCCCTTATTCTTGAACTCTCGGGGCTAAGGAAACCGAAAAAGGCCGATCGACTAATCTGTCTCGTCAATGGAGACAAACTACTAATATCCATCAAAGGTGACCTGCTAGGGTCCAAAATCCCAAAACCGCTCGAGCACGACTTTTTCCTTCGAACACTAATTGGGACCTCTCGTTTACTTGCTCTCTCTCGACTACTAACATCATCAGCATGCACACGATTTGGATTCTCCTTCAAGTGACGAAGGATCTTCCTTTTTTCTTTCGCGAGCTGTTTGCCTAAAGAAAGTGGCTCAGGCAAACCTTTCTTTGGCGAACTTTCTTCCGTCTTGAGCTCCTCTTCAGGGCCATTTTCGTAATTGCGCCCCTTCTCATCGACGGCGCTGTTTTTCTTCAGCCGGAAGCTCGAGAATATTTTCTCCTTTTCGAGTTGCTTTCCGAGAGGAAACGGAGGAGGCAGTGATAAATCCGTGTTCGGGTTTCGAGTTTGCTCTTTGAGAGTGGAAATCTCAAGACTCGTCTCGTTTGCCTTGTTTTCGTATCTGATTGCTTTCTCCTTCCATTCTTCCACCTAAAACAAAATCACCAAATAAATACCTTTACATCAATGATATGAAAAATAAAAATATTAATTTATTTATTTTTTAATATTTACATTTTCATCCGACTAGTATTTGATCGCACAGGTATAAATAAAGTATTATTATAATCGTATTATGTTCTAAAATTTGATCTCAGTTAAAATAAGATTACGTAACTATTTGATTGCATATGAATCACTATATTGATTATTAATTGCATAAAATGTAATAAATAATGTAATATTTGTAATTTTGAGAGATCATGACCAATTAATTTGCTGAAAAATATTAAATTTATTATAACAATTGCTTATGCGATTTTAATGGATTTTACTATAATTAAAACTAATTAATTTATTTCAAAAAACAATCGCTTATTCAAGTAAATAATTATAATATTAATTTTAGAATAAATAACTCAAACAAAAAGTTTTACAATACATGTTTATGTAACTTTCATATATCATTTAGTGTAAATATAAATATTAATTCTAATAATATCTATTATATTATACAATAAAAAAATATAATTATTATTGAATTGATAAAAAAATGTAACGGTTTTTGTCACAATTGTTTTCGGAAAGTTAGGTGCCTCGTATGTATAATTTATGAGGTAAAATTTATGAGCTTATATTCAACGGATTGTTAGCATATATATATAATTCACACACAAAAATTCTCTGAAAGATGTAAATGTAAGAGGGGGTGGATCTTCCTTACAGTGTTCCTGAGGGCTCGAATTTCCTGGTTTAAATTGTAGGCTCGATTTTCCCAGAAATCGCGGGACGCTTGCAGCTCCTCCATTTCACCGCGCACCTGCGCCAGCATCTCCTGCATTTGGGCCCACTGCTCAGTCTCGGCTCTCACTTGCTCGACTATCCTCCGCACAATGGCCTTACAACGGCCCGTGCATTTGTTCTCATTAGCCATAACAGACTCCTGTGTATGACAAAACATATTTAAACCAAAACACTCCCCCCAAATATTGAACTGGATAACTATTTGCAAATATCAAAATTAGTGTCCAGTTGCTTGTTTAAGTAAGTCGAGGTTTTGGCTTAAATAGGCATTAAAACAATGGAGAATTATTAATAGGCGTGATCTTACAGCCTGAGATTAGCTGATGTTGTGTAAACTGGAGGCATGCTCAAGACAATAGCTACCGATATTCTCAAGGGCTTGACCATTTACTGGTTATGATATATACAGAATGAGCCATGACTTGTGCTGAGAATTAAGGAAAACACGGAAGAGCATTGAAAGATCAAGACACCGTGTGAAACAAATTAATTTTTAATTTCTCGGCAGGCATATTGTAAGGTGTCGGGCAGAGATTCACATTCTGGAAGTCTTACTCAGCTTGCAATAAAATAGTCGAAAAATGAAGAAAAACAGAACACAATCAGATGCAAACTAATTTTGTATTAGTGGTCCAGGCCTAATGTTTTGACATATTTTATATAACTTAGTGGGTTTTGGGCAGTGTGTAGCAACCAAACCACACTTATTACATATAAAATAATGGGTTTCCAAAATCATATAACATTTTCAAATGAGCAGTCCAAAAGAGGTAATATTTATAGAGAAGGGTTTTTGAATTTTGCCTGATACAATTGTCTGGTTGAAATATTAGACAGCTCGGGACACTCGATTCTTTTGGACGTCGAAGCTGAGCTGGCTACTGAGCCATTGGCAGTAATGGAAAGAATTGAATTGTATTCTTCCTCAACTCTGTTTAAAATGCCCTTTGATAGTCCCTCCATTTTGTCCCTCAGAAAATCCACCTGCACAATCTATTTCAGTGTGCAAAACCAAGATTAGTCATAGCCCGCATCATTAAAATTCTTTCACCGAACTCAGAACAATACCAAATCACATATACTCATTTGACATATGGTTCTTATTTACATATACTTTATAATTTTAAAGAGAACTAACATAATTTTTGTAGAAAACCTTAATTCCATCTAAATATAGTTTCTTATACATATATTTTCCTATACATTGTTGGAAAAACTCGTAATGCTAATCAGACTTGCAAGGAAAATTAATAATTCGGATTAACAAAGCAAGAAAACTAAAATGTTCTTACATCGGACAACTTATCCTCAGTTTTCCAATTGGAAATATTGCTCTCTTTATCACCTTCATGGTTCGCATCAACACACAGGCTCAACTCAGCTCCATTTTGTGAGTCCTTTCTAGACTTTACACTGGATAATCCTTTGAGATTTTCTAACCTGCGCTGCAAAAGGCAAGCGCTCTTGTCGAAATTACTGCAATTTTGAACTTCAAATTCTTCTTTACTTCTTGAACTCTTTTGCAGCTCCTCCAGCTTCTCTGCTAAATCTTCTATCTCTTCATCTAAGACATCATTCACATTCTTCCCCTCAAAAATCTTCTTTCTTCCCTGCAAAAGCAAGCCAATTTGAAGCATAAACATCTCGAGCAATTGAAAATTGGATTTGAAGCACAAGAGTTATTGAATGATCCCAATCATATCTTAAAAAAAAAAAGAAAAAAAAAATCATCCTTTCAACCAACTTTCCTTACTTTAAGGTGTTAAACAACTATTTTAATAATTATATTTAAAAAAAAAAAAAATAAGGGGAAAGAAAACAGGGCTAACAGAGACAAGTGCTTGAACAGCCGATTTCAGAGTTCTTTCCACATTAACCCTATTTTTCTCCATCTTCTTCAGAGCAAACTCCCTCTCCATTCTCAACAATTTACATTCGGCCCTCAGTATCTCCGATTGAAACTTCCACTTCTCCTCCTCAAACCCGCCGCCGGCGCCATTAAAATACTCTCCACAGTCATCTTCCTCCACCCTCTCCCTCCTTCCGCTGGTCGGTGATTCCGAGTACGAGACGGAGGGAGCGAGCCCATGGGTGGTGGGTGGGTCGTCGTTTTCTCGATTGAACAGCTTCTCGAGCGTCGCCTTGTGGGATTGGTACTTTTGGCGCATGAGCAGTAGTGGTGGGCCGTTTTGGTCGAGGCGGCGGCTGGCGGCGGTCCTGGTTTGCTTGCGGCGGGTCCTGCGGCTGCGGGGGAAGTGGAGGACTTTAGGGCTGGGCGGCGGCGGCGGAGCTGGGTGCCGTTTGGTTTTTCTTGGTGCAGTTGATTTGTTCATCTCTGTGTGTTTTTTTGTTGCTTTTTGGGTGGTTTTAAGTGTTGAGAGTTGTGGTGTAGGCGTGACAGGGTTTAAAGGAGGATTTTGAATTTAACGGCAGCTATAGAATTAGAGATTATATGCATCATAGATCGATTAAATGCAAAATGACCAAACGGTGCAATAATTTATCTGGATTAAGTTTTGTGTTTGAATTGTTTTCGTTTTTCACAAATCTTATTAAAATAAACTGTGAGGTGGACCGACTTTAGATTATGCTGTTGTAGAATATTAATTGCAATTTGTTAAATGCAATTGCAGGTTTTATGTATTTCAAATGTAATTAGTTAATTAATACTAATATAGTTGTGGCAGTGAAAATGAAAGATGTATGTATAAAAAGAGGCGTGCAACCTCGTTGACGTGAAAAGAGTCAGAGGAGAACACGGATTTGAAATCGCAAATCTCACTCGACTTTTTTACCCTTTATTGAACTTTTTTCTGTATTTTTTAATTGCATAAATAATGTTCCTTCTTTTATATCTTCCATTTTATTTGCTTTTCCATTTAAATGATCCTTATTAGAAGTATTAATTATTTAGTAAACAATCAATAAACTAAGAGTGGCTGGAGAACAAAGACCAAGAAAAACACACACCATACGAGGTGAAGAAGCTGTTGTTGTCCTGAGTTCAGTATTCATTAATAATTTTTCATAATTACGTCAAAATTTATTGCTGTCCAATAATGTCACTTCAATTTTTTTATTTTATTTTTATTTTTTTTTTCCGGGTTTAGGTTTATAGTCCGTGCCGTTTAAGCTGTGTGCTGTCATATGCATTATTTGAATATTCCTTGTCGTCACCTCTCTATTTATTTCTGCTAGCTAGACCTTCAAGGAGAGGAAAAATATTCTCTTTTTTCTTTGCAATTTATTATTTAATTCTGGATTACTCAGAGCGATTGTTTATACATTTAACTAAAAGAAAATTAATTAAAATTTAAATTTAATTTAATTTTAACTCAATTCCACTATTCTCAATATTATCAATATAATTAAATAATATCAATCAATCTTTCTTACACATCAAATTTAATTTGATTCACTATTCATCCACTCACATAATTTTAACTAACAATCACTTCCAATCATTTTTATAATACTTTACATCAAATCAACATTAATTATTTTATTTAAATATTATTTTAAAATATCCACTAACAACTAACTATACCACTTTTTTTAAAAATTAATTATAATTTTAAAACAAACCAGATAAAAACTAGGTAAATCCACGAACAATCACGCCTCAATAATTTGGTGAGATCATGGTAAAACATCATTTTTATTGATTCGGACAAATTAGGGAATCAATATTTCTATTGTTTTAAGTATAAATACTTTTTGCTAAAAGATTATTACGTTTTGTATTTTATAATAATCGCTTTTACAAAAAATACTCGTCATAATTAATATGTGGATCGAGGATGACATAACATTTTAATTGTTTATTTTCTTTTAACACTATGCAATTAGATAATATATTGATCAATTTTCGTTTAGCCTTTAGAGAATCACAGATACTCTAATAGTGATTGTCATATTTTTTGAAAAAACAAAATTGTGCATTTCTAGAGTAAAATATTATACTTCTTTACATGTAGTTGGTTTTAAAATTAAATGTAAATATCGTATTGGTTTTTGAATCATGATATGTTATTATAAGTATGTACATATATTGGAAAAATATATGTTTTTTCTCTAGAGCTTTTAAATGAAATATGTCGCTGGTGAGCTCAAGTCGCTAAAGCTCGAGTTTTGCATGTGACAAGTTAATAAACTATCTGAATTCGTTAAGATTCGAGAATATAAGTTTTTTCATAATTTCTTAAAATCTTATCTTCGCTCGAATAACTAAAGTTTGATTTAAGCTAATTAATATTAATAAACGAGTCAAATTTATTTTACAAACAAATAATAATAATAATGAAAATGCAAACCGTGAAGTTATTCAAAAGCTCAATAAGTATCATCCCCGTATTATAGTACTGTATATTTCTATCATAACCCGCCATTGATTTTCTTGATTTCAGGGCTGTGACAAGTCAATGTGCGTGCAAAAGTCTTATAAAGAGTGTAGCTAGTTTGTCAAAATTGGTTTCATAGACTAAATTTTCACATATTATATAATCAAGATGTTTTTTATGAGATTATAAAAGAAAGTTATTTTTTTTTATTTTATTTTCTTAACACATCCTTTAAATCCGAAAATGGTGGTTTCAATAAGTGATTTCATTATTATTCTTGAAGACATATTATATCTATGTATTATTCCTTTTCTCTTCTTTTTTTCACAACTTATCACCTATTTAATAAATTTGGAAAATTTATAAACTTTCCAATATCTTTAAGAATAATTATTCTATTATTATTGCAAAAAATATTGTTCCCAGAGTTCAAATTGGTTATACATGTTATTTTGAGTCTTTGATGACCATACCAAATTATGTTTTACAATAAACTCATGTCTTTCTTAATCTCAAATAAAAATACATATATATCTTTAAATAAATGTTATACTTCAAAAAAATCAAATAACTCCATTATAGTATTAAAAGAATTGTCCGTCATTGTGATAGTGTGTATTTTTACCCAAATAATATATTTATATTTATCTAATAATATATTACGCAGACTCATAATGGACCCGTGACATTTCCATTTCATCAATTGCATTCTCTATTTCATGTGATGTTCCAATGCTGCGCGCGCGCGCGTCTCAATATCATGTGTTATTAATGATGTCATTTTACACTCGAATTAAACATCAATCAAGCAAGCGTAAGCGAAGTTAAAAATAATGGAAAATATATAAAATATCTCATGCGTGACACAATGCCAAGATTTTATTTTTTATTTTTTTCATATATATAGCATTTAAAAACCACTAAAATGGTTATTGGTCAGATATAATGTTTAGACAATTATATTTTTTCAAAAGTTACGTAAAATTTTAAATTAACATATCACACTTTGTAAGACAACATAAACATAAGTACGACATTTTATAACACTAGTAAAGTGCACGTGCGATGCACGTGGCGACGAATGTTTTTTATCGATTAAATATAATAAGATAAATTAATTAATTTATTACACATATGAGTGCAAGAACAAAATAATATGTAGAATAAATCAACTTTTCATGCATTTTATTTTAAATAAAAAAGTGTTGTCGTAATATAAAAATATTTAAATATCATATTACAACTCCAACAAAAATATATGAAAAATGAGTTCCGAATGAAAAACAATAAATGACTAAATAATAACATAATGTATATTATAGATGCATGAGTTCTTTTATTTATTTATGTTAGATTCAAGAGTCATTTTCTTTTATTTTGATTTTGATGTTCTCATAAGAAACATTCATACTCGTTGAATTCTAATACATCAATAGTATTGCAAAATTCTTCTTGATTAATTTGGCAAAACATCTGTTTTATTCAACACTTAGAAATACATTAGCCAAACATATAGTCAAACTTTATGATTGTATGATCATTATAAGGTATTTCTACTAATAGTTCATAAGTATCTCTGTAAAATAAACAATTGTAGCATTAACTTTCTTGATATTTGTGTCATTAAAATTCTTGATATTTCTTTTAATCACTGTATAAACTACTACATCTCTCTCTCTCTCTCTCTCTCTCTCTCTCCACATAGACAAATTGGTACTTACTCCATGGGAACGGATTTCATCTCTAAATAAAGTTTGATTTTCCAAAATCATGTACTTCTATGAAGATGCTAAATTATTTTTTTAAAATCATCACACATTACATGAAAATATGCACTCTAAAACAATTGAGCGTATGATCGAGCACAATACACAGTTATGATTGTAAATATTCTTATCAAAAAGTGACAACTTATTCAACATTGAAAAATATTTTGATCAGAATCAAACATTCTCTTTTCAGTTTTATTAATTTGAAAGATAGATACCTTCCATATTCTTTCGGATTTGCAATATTTATGTGTCTAATAACATTTATTGCATTTATTGTCCAATCTTTTGTATCATAACTAATGCTTAAAAAATTCAAGATATATAAAGATCCTTTATTGATTCTTCAATAATAACAAAACAAAACAAAACAACGAGACAATATTGAGAAGTATTTGCCAAAATATTTCAGATGAGAAGAATTTGAATTATACTATATTATGATACTCTTAGTCATTTGTTATCTTTATTATTATGAAGTCATTATTAAAGTTTGGGGTCTATCTTATGATAATATCGAATCATTATTTATGAGAACTAATTTCTTATAGAGAACATATACTTAAATGCTAGCAACAAAAAAAGTGGTAATTTTAAAAGATTTTTGTTTCTTGATATTAGTATTCATACTTTTCTAATAAAATTCAGAATTTTTCTTTTCCTCATTGCATTACTATTGGTTTACTTTTTTTTATTTTATTCACAAATAATATTTTATTTGTTGAAAGAATTAGAGGACATTTATATGCAATGCGTTCTTTTTACGTGTTTGATAGTAATAATATACTTGATAAAAATGTAGTTTTATATTGTTTATAATATTAAAAGGTTTTGAATTTATTTCCATGCTCTGATAAAATAATAAGTAACTAATTCATGTTTATATTCACAAAAAATACATTTTACAACCATTATGGTGTTCCCTTTCAAGCAATAATTGAATAATAGTTTAACATACAACCGATTTATTTTTTTCTTTTAATTCACATATTTAATATTGGTAATAGTTGTACAATTACATCTAGTTGACTTTTTTCTTAGTATGAATATTTCAAATCTATGTCAGAAAAATATACGACAAGTTTATCTAATGTTATTTTATAATTAATAAAATTAATTTAACATGGATCTATAATTATTTTATAAGATTCTTTTATGTCTATTTATTATTTTGAATTGGTATTGATATATATATATATATATATTATTTTACATCGATATAAACAATTGTATTATTTTTATTTTATTTACAAAACATTGATAAAATCAAATATCATGGGAAAGAAATGATATGATATACTACATATAAAAGGGTAACAAAAAAAATTAAGTATTTCAAAATTAAAAAATTTAATGGTAAAAATTAACTGATTTTTTAACTAAAAAATTATGACTAACATACCGATTTCTAAGACAAAAAAATAAATATATTTTTTTAT